AAATCCAACCCAATCCAATCCAATCTCATAGCTCAACCCGAAATATGATACTCGTCCATTTGATTTGATTTTTTTTAATTTAAAATCAGCCCTACCATCCTGGGATGAATACTGTATCATAACCGTACCGCACTTGTACAGTACAGGTAGGGTACTTGTACAGTGTGATATTGTACCGGCGGACAAGAACGCCACCGATATGCTAGAATACGGTACGGTACCGCCTTACTCCGATAACTCGATCGGATTTGTCCTTCGAGGGGGGGGAGGAGGACGAGTTTGTGATGTGAGAGCGAAAGCCCTCAATCCATGCCGGTATGATACATACAGTATCACCGCGTGCTCTTTCTTTAAGGGCATGTATCGTACTTTTCCTTCCTTCCTTCCTTCCTTCCTTCTCCCCCCTTCACTTTCATCCAGTTACGGAACCGGTAGAGGTAAAGCGTATCGTATAGGCTACTATAGAGTACAGTACAACACGGTGATAAAGTGACCAGAGCAAAAGCACATCCTCCACCCTCCCCTCCCCACCCCCCCCGCACAATCATTTCCACAATCATACTCTTGGCCAGTGGTCGTTACATCCTATAGCAACAGTAACGACAGCTTACCACGTCGTACTAGCACAGTACCGGTAAGGTATCCATGGAAGAGGAATGTCAAGGCGTAGGCAAAAACAAAAAAACAGCAACTATTCTGACAATAATGACAGGTCAGCCAGTCGTCCATGTCCGAGGTGTACTTGTACCTGGTACGAGCACGGTACAGTAGTACAGTAGTACCTGGTACAGTACGGTACTCAGCATTGCAAGGGGTTTGTCCCGTCCCGCCCGTGACGACAACGGCGTGGAAAAGTTTTCGTCGGTCGTCGGGATACCGGTACCGGTACAGTGGACCAGCCAGGAAAAGGATGGATGGAAAAAGTGATCACGAGAAGGGGGGGGGGAGTGTTTTAAAAACAAAAAACAAAAACAAAAACTGTCTCCCTCTCCCCATCCGTTTATATCCCCTACTTCTGGAATTCGCTTCCGAATGGTTATGATACTGTAGGGAAAATGGAGGGAAGGATGTGTGTGTGGATGTTTCGAAACGGTGCCGAATGACCGGTAATGACCACCACCAGTACGGTATCGTACCAACTGACCATGATAACCAACAGACACAACCAACAAACCAACCAACCCACTTTGCATTCCCCCCCCTCCTCCCCCCCTCCTCCCGGCACCGAGGAATGGGGTTCGACGATTTGGTCGGTCGGTTCGTTTTGTTTTTCTGTAAATTACATGTGGGATGGATGTTTGAACGTGGTTGATGAAATGATAGAAAAAGTGAATGACGTATTTTTTTTTTTCCCCTTCTCACTCGCTCGCTGGCGCAAAATGGCTGGAGGATGTTTTTTTTTTTCCCTTTCCCCTCCGGCGAAGGAAGGGATTATTATATCGTGGGTGTATGTATGATACATACGTACGTACGTAGGGTAAAAGATGATAGATATAGTTAAAAAGCTTTCCATTCCATAAGAAATGTGATTGTTGAGATCTGGGAAAGATTTTTTTTTTTTCTTCTCTCTCCCTTCTTCATACCGGTAATCACTTTTTAAAGCTGTAGAGTATCGTACTCGTACATACAGTTATGATGTGAGTGAGTGAGTGAGTGTTGGTCCCATTCGCCGTCCGCCATCAGAGCAACAGCACACACACAACGCACCGCTTCAGAGCTCCGCCGCTATATCGCACA